AATTGCATTTAATTGTGAGGCGCGGAGAGGGCGAATGTGGGAGGCATACGTTTGAATGAGTATTTTGGCACTTACGCGCCTTTTGACTTTGAGATGTGGCTTTTTGTCTCTAGACATTCATTGCGGATATCGTTGAGGAGCCTGATACTTTCAAGTGGGCCAGAGAGGGGCCCGTCGGCGTCAGGCGTGCGTCAGATATATCATTATCTCGGCCTCACTGTTGCTATGCAATTAGACTCCGTTAATCGCGCCAAGCCCCACCGCCAACCGATTCTCCAAAACTCCCTGTAGCCAAACTCATCTTCATCTCCCTCTCATCTAAATCCTCTCATCTCTCCTCATCTCACCTCATCTCCTCATCTCATCTCCTCATCTCTATCTCATCCAGATCCCCTCCTCCATCCCCTCCTCATCCCACACCATCACATCACCATCTTCCTCTCCGCCAAAAACCTCTCCACCATCCCCTCATCCAAAAATTCGTCGCCGCATAGCAACCGACGAGGACGCAGCAACAACATCAACACACCACGTGGACCTTTTTTTTCCCCTCCTCGTCTCTTCACCTCTTCACCCATTTCCTCGTTCCACCACTTCCTTTCCCGCCGAAACTGCGCAGTTCTACAGCTTCATACGACCTGGACCCAATTCACCAATTGTCACTTGGACGAAGAATCAATTAAAAAATCTCTCAAGAAATCTAACAAAAAAAATTCGTCCAATTTTTTCAATATTTTCGGTTGAATTTACTCGCTGGAATGATTTTTTCGAATTTGGGAAGTCCCAGGAAATTGATAGAAAATCGATAACTCGGGAAAATCATAAATCAAAATTTATGATTCGATGAATTCGAGGATAATTAATCTTCAGATGATAATTAATCGAATGGTTGGACACGGGGGTACAAGGTCGCCGTTAAGGCCGATCTCGGTTGTATGCCGAGGTGGAATGGGCCTAGCAGTTCAATTGGGCCTCAGAGGCCTTAAAGGTCGCCTCCGCAAGAATGTACCCAGATATCGAATCCTACGCACTGCAATTCCGAAGGCCCATTCAATGACCATTAGATGACTTTTATTTTATTTGTCGTAGGTTAAGGCCGAAATGGACAGAAGGGGGAAAAGATGCTGTTGCTAGGCACGTGGGCATATGGCTCCAACAACTAGCACTTTTTTTTTATTTCCTCTTTTTTTTCCCTTTTTTTTTCCAGCGGACGCCCCAACGGAAGTCCAGCCACCTCTTCCTGGAAACTGTTTTGCATCTCATTACGGTTTTTATCATTTTTCTACTGCGGAAAAATGTGAAATATTGGAAATGCATTCGTAAATAAATTCTCATTGCCGAAAGAATTTTGTTGTATGAAGAAAAAACCCCTGGATTTTTCGATTTCGAAATGTTTTTCGAGGGATGAAAATGAATCAAATTTTGATACGAAAATTTAGAAATTAAAGCACCTAGATATCGG